GAAAATTAAATTCTCTTTCTAAAGGCTAATTTTTATTTAATTTTTATTGTTCAAAGGCCTTTCACATCAGTCAGTAGCTCCCACCGACACAGGGCAAGTGTTATTCTCGTGCAGTTAGACTTTGTACTTTGACATCCTCTTTTGGCAGGCTTGTAGAGAAAACTTGGGATGGCAACATGTACAGCTTGTGTCAGAAGAAGATAAAATATGAAGGTTTTGGCTTCCAAGGATGGAAACAGACATTAAAACCAAACAATATTTTCTGGTGTGACTAATTCAAACCTATTACAACAAGTATCTTGCAGAGCATTGATATTCAAATAGTCCTGGAGGCTCATGTGCACTGGGTTATTTCATAGTATCATGCACATAATTAGGTGACCCTCAAGGGAAAAAAAAAACAGTGCTTATGTAATTCAATTGAGGTCAAAAGCAGTTTTCAAACTGGGTTGGCCCCCCAGGGTATGGAAGCAGGAGATAATTTTTAAAGCACAGAGGAAAATTCCAGCCAGCTTCTGTCCACCTCCCTCCACTTTTCTTCTCTCTTCCCCATGCCTGAAGCACTGCCCCAATGCTGGCAGCTCAGTTGACTCCGGAAGCTTTTTGGAAAAGGTTATCTGTAATTTCAGCTATCAGAGCCAGGGAGTGTGGGAGTCAGCCATTCTAGAGTGTGTGGGCAAAAACCCAAACAAGAACAACGAGCAAACCAAAACCAAACCCAACAGGAGGGAACCTTGCATATAAAGTTTGTGAGCTGCTGTCCTGAGCAAATGGTCCAGGAGCCACAGACTGCTGGGGACATCAGATCCTGCCACCGAGGGGACCTCAGTGCGTGATAGCAGTTCTGGCTGCAGCATGGTACGCTGGCCTTCCTCACTCACCATGTGGCCCAAGGCCTCAGGCATGTCCTCAAACAACCCCGCTGCTATGTAGAGGCTTTAAAAATTTTTGTGCTGAAGTTTTAAAGCTCACAAAGAGCCTTTGGAGCTACTGGCCAAGAGCACGGGTAGATTATCAATAACGTGTTTTTGTTTCTCTCTTGAATGAGTGCTTTGCTCTCCAGCTTTCAGGCATCCAAATAATTCTAACAGAAGTTACTTGGACTGAAAAAGGACAAAATTGTGTCTGCAAAACCATGAAAAAACTAATTAATGAAGTCAACAAAAGTTTTCCCCAGAAATAGGATGGACCATTTGTAAAAAATGGTTATTGACGTCAGTGTCTATGTTCACTTATTAAAATTTAAAATAAAGCTATGAAGAAAAGAGTTTTGTCGGACTTTCTTTTTTAATGTCCAGTTTACGAGGAGCTGGAAACAAAGTTACTTTTCCAACTCAGTTGGTATGATGAGGAAAAACATAAAAGAGATTTTTTTGGCTTCCTGTTTACTCTTCAGTTTGTTTGCCATGATAAATAGCATGATGGCAAACCACCAGAATGGACAAGCAATGAGTAGAGCTCCAGTTTTCCTTCTTCTGTCATGAATAGGGATGATGAGGGATGCTGCCTGAGCAGTACTGAGCTGTATAAATGCACTCCTGAGCTCTCTCTGGTGAGGCTGAAGAAGAGACTGACAATTATCAGTGGTTTTTTTGGAGGAAAAAGAGCATAGTTTCATAAGAGTAACTCATCTAGCCCATTTCAGAGATGTATTTTATAAAGAAATCATGATTTAAGTGCTTTGTTTTCTAAACAATCCCTTTAAATTTAAATGTCAATATTACAAGTGCTAAAGTTTAGAGAAGCTGTTCTTGATCCACGTGTGTTCTCTTGTCTACTTCCCCACTGTCTCATCTTCTCCCTTCCCTGCTTTTCTCTCTATCAAGTTACCTGTTATTTTAACTTCCTTTTATGATTTAAATAGATTGATTGTCTTAAATAAAATCCCCAAGCAGCTTCTTGCTTCCTGTTTTTGTATTTTGTACTGTTTAGATCTCACTAGTTTAGTGCTTGAAAATCTGTTGGATAAAAGAAGAAAATGAAAAGTTTCACTTTCATGTGCTAAAAGTTTCTAGCATGTTTTACACAACAATTGTGACTGGACAGATTAGAGAACAATTAACTGACTGTCACCTGTTCCTATTACCATATTCAGAAAAGAAAAAAAAAGCAAACCAGCTAAAGAAACTCCCCAAAAATATCATGTGATGAGTTAAAGCACAGTTAATTTAGCTAATACAGCTTATTAAAATGCCTTAAACTCACTTTTGTATAATTTTTTGATTCTTATCTGGTACTTCCAGTAAGAGAAATATGGAAAATTTTCTTACTTCTAACACATGAACAGTTTTTATCCTCTTTAGTATATGCATGCTTGCCAGAGGGCTCTGCTACCTGCTACTTTTTCTGCTGCCTGAGAGGTTTGACATCTACTGTATCCTTCATGCTCTAGCTGTAATAGCAAATTCACCTCCTCTTTCTTCTTCTTCTTCTTCATTCCCACCTGAGGACTGCTTAATTTTCTTTCACTGTTTCTGTTCTGTGAGGCCATTAGCTTGGTTTCTTTTGCTCATACTGTTTGTGTAGCTCTGCCTTCTGTGTCAGCCTTTTTGAGTTTTGTTTCAATCCAGCACTCTTGGTTTTTGACACAGAGCATGAGATGAGTCATACTGACAGTGCAGTTTGTTTTTGGAGTCAGAATAAGAAAGTCTGTCTCACCAGTGGGCATCTGGAACTTTAAGATCTTTTGACTATACTTTGGACTTTTGAAAGAAAATTCTGTTAGGGAGCTCAGCTAACAAAGAATCCACCCAAAACTTTTTAGTACCTTGTGTCTGACAGCTTAGAAACATTATCTTCAAACAATGAACTTAAACATTCTGGGATATTTCCAAAATACTTCTCTTATGGAGCAGAAAGCCTTAGCTGCATCTGGTAAAGGATCTGCTGTTGCGATAGAAACTTGAATGTGCACCAGAAGGAATTCTGTGTCTGGCAATTGACATTGTCCCTGTTTCAGAACAGAGTTTTTTAGTAGATTAAAACACCAAATCACAGTTTTTGCACAATTTACTCTGAGTTCTGAAAGACCCTTATGTGACAATTTTACTTACTTTGCTTTCTCAGAGAATGGAAGGACAGTTAAGTGCCATTTGTTTGGTTGGTTGGTTGGTTTTTTCCCTGCTAGATCCATCTAGAAATATTGTAATCATGAGGTTCAGTAACATGAACAAAACATAACGCTCAAAGACACAGGAAGGATCAAAAGAGAATATTTAAATGTGAAAACTGTATAGCCAAATACCTCCGTATGTATTGCTCCCTGTCATCCAATAACAGAATCCTCTCATCTACTTAGCGTACTCTGGAACCCCAGGTCTTGATGGATTGTTCAGGCCTTTTCTCTATTTCCAAGGGTTAGATCTTTCAGGAGCAAAGAAAATGAATTTTACCAATTTGGAAAAACAAAATTAGGTGACTTGTTATGATGTTTCCAAGTCACATGATTAAAAAAAAAGTATTCCAAGTAGCATCCTAATGGAGGAATAACAGGAGGTACATGAATGAAAAAGTATCATTTTAAAACTGTGTGATTTTTAATTGCATGTACAGATGAGAATGATGATCATCTCTTTAATAGCTTAAAAGCAGCAAGAGTAAACTATGCTCAGGGAATTAATTCTTTCCTTTGCATAAATTTTAAATAACTTTGTTTTATACAGACAGATTCTTGAACAGGATACTAAATTATACTTAAAGCTTCATTATAAGGAAATAATTTTGTGTTTCTTTTCCTTACAAATCCATGAACTAACTGGATAGCTAAGAGTCATTCTGTTCTAGAATTTACTTTCCAGGACTATTCTCTAATTTTATAGTTACTTATAGAGCTTCCCTTACAGGGTTACATTTTCTCTGCTAAAATTGGACTCTAGAGTTCTTTGAATTAAGTTTTCTTGTTCTTTATCCTTAAGTGTTTCTGTTCCCCTCTTATTGAACAGAGAAAGGAAACAGATATTAAGAAATGGATCTTTGAGATTCTCCCATGTCTGATACACAGGACTCTGTTGTAAATTAGCAATCAGCTCATAGAGGCTGAGGATGGAGATAAGGAGATGAATGTTTCCTCAGTGTTCTCTGCAGGATCCTCTTTCAGCTGATCAAGGGTCAAATGCATTTATAAAACATTGGAAGAGAAATCTTGCATTGTCACAGTGTGTTCCTGGGGAGTACTCAACTTTAAACACTCATTTACTGCCCACCTGGAAACTCAAATAAATAAATAAATAAATTCAAAGTAATTTTGACTGTGAGCCTAATTAAAGCACACAGTCAAATGTGGGGAGTCAGACAATGTTTCCTACTCTCTGGCTTCCTGGTTTATCAACATCCAGGAGCAGAGTCAGTAATAAGTATCAGAAGAGAGCAGAAACTCATGAAGGCTGTAGGTAATGCAGAAGCAACATTTCACGCTGGGACATGGGGCTTCAAGGCTAAAGTAAAAAAGCTGGCATGGGTTTGGTTAAAACATCCTTCAGTCTATACTTCAAAGGGTCACGAGAATCTTTTTAATTACAGTCTGCAAAAAAACCACCACTTCCACTTTAAGAAATGCTCAGAGCTGATGAATAGGTGGCTCTTGGTGTGTTGCTCTGATTCCATTTTGTCATTTGTCTGTGGTACTACAGTGTGATCCCTTCCCTCCTGAGAGCTGCCATAATGGTGTCTGTGAGCAAGTTGGTTGTATAGTTTCACTGGTAAATACATGGATCTCTTATTGTTTACTTATTTTTGGGGAAATTGTTCTCAAATACACAGTAAGGACACTGATGTTAGCAAGATTTTGATGAAAGGGAGAAAAAACCCTTTAGTCATAGGGTAAGGCAAATCAACGCCTTCTAAATATTGTAATTACCGGTGAGAAAGAAGCAAAATTATGATGAACAGGTATAAAATACACACAAAATTTTTGTTTGGAATGAAAAACAATGTCATGTGCATTGGCAATTATTCTTTTTTTTTCATATTAGATTTTTCTTTCTGTTTTTATTGCATTACAGAAACTCAACTTACTGTATGAAAGTGTCCATTTCGCTGACAGTGGGTGAAAATGACACTGGACTCTGCTACAATTCAAAGATGAAATATTTTGAGAAAGCTGAACTTAGCAAAAGCAAGGAAATCTCATGCCCTGAAATTGAGGATTTTTTATTTCCATTTAGGGAACCTGAAATTCTGTGGTATAAGGTAAGGAATGCAAGCGATTTATACCTTTAACAAGATATTATGCAGTTCTTTTGATTTTCATGATCTAAATGTGTTAAGAAACTTAGATTGTTTTAAAATTTGTAAGAACAGACAGCAGAATCAGTTATAGAAAAGAACAAACTAATTAAGAGAGAAATTCAAATGCTTCCTTTGGTAAACTTTATAAGATATCTGCGCATGCTCTTACTTCAATTAATGGCAGCAATTTTGCAGCATGAAATTCAGCAAATACTACCAACACTTTGATTTCTGCATGAGTTAAGGTTATATTTGCAAATATAATTTCTTTTTTTTTTTAAATCTTACTATTATGTGCTGATTTCTAGATCTTTACTTAAAGGCTAAGTTCTTGCAAGTAGTGCTGCCTGTGGACAGTGGACTGGAATTTCCATGAACAGCAACTTGAGTTCTTTAATTCTTACTATCTATATGAAATACCCAGTACTCCAGTTTTCAAACTGTTCAGTAAATTGGAAATTTATGTTCTGTGTATTTTGCCTACATAGACCTTTACTGATGTCTGTGTATATAGGAATTCCTAGTTTGAGTATGCGCTGGTATACATTCTAATTATTTTTCTGAAGTCTGATAATTTACCTACTAACATAAATGCTTTTAATTATGGTTTACAAGACTATGCCATCTAATAAGAGAGATTTTGTGGCCTAGCAATATACAGTTCAAATTAACTGACAGCATATCTAAGATAGGAGAAATGTAACCAATTATTTGTTTATCCTCATCTTGGATTTTGTGTTTGTAATACAATATTTTTGTAGATTAAAAACTCACCTTTTCTAAGTTCAGAGAGCTTTGATTTTTAGATGTTTTTAGAAAGATATATATATTTCTCCTCATTCTCATCATCTTCTCTTTCTCTAAATTTTTAGCTACAATTTAAAAAAAATTATTAAAAGAAAATACAATCCTTGCCTGCAGCCTATAGCTGCTGGCAGTATAAAAGTTACAGATCACAGACATAAGTGTAATGGTAAAAAAGTAAATTAAATGGGAGCCACTCAGCAAACTAATATCAAAAGAAAACTACCAAAGGAATCAACTCCTTTTTCTTGACAAAGGCACAAATATTAAATCAGCTGATAAAATTCCAGTCTGTTTTCTTTTTAATCAACACCTAAATGGACTGAATTTTTAGATATTTAGTGTATACAAAGTTTATAGCTAGCCTAGGCTCTTGCCTTGGCTTTGAGCAGCACTGTAAGCAGTGGTCCATTTTAAGTATAAGAACACAGTCACTGAAGTTTTATATTATCTTTAAACAGGAATGCAAGTCAAAGACATGGAGATCAAGTATTGTGTTTAAAAAGGACACTCTTGTCATTCGGGAAGTTAGAGAGGATGACATTGGAAATTACACTTGTGAGTTAAAATATGGATTCTTTGTTGTCAGAAGAACGACGGAATTAACAGTTACAGGTAATTACAGGATCTTGCTGTATCTCCTATATTTATATAAAAAATATTGAATACTGTGATTTGAGTTGTGTGTATTTGAGTCATTTGCACACAACTTTGCTGTGGGCCTAGATATGAATGGCTGATACATTAAAGCTGCCCTGAATACTTCACAGTGGTATCTGTAACACCCCAACAAGTCTGACTTCAGTTCCAAAAGCTTGTGGGGAGCTCTTTCTTTTAACTGGAAAATGCGGTCAAGGAACAGGTAAATTCAGCAAGCTCTACCTCTAACAGAAAAAGAGATTAAGTCTTATCATACTTCTTCATGTGATTAAATGCCTTGGGATTTAAAAATAACTGTAGTAATAGCTCAATAATTTTAGCTCTAGTGGTCTCTGGATGTGAGAATAGCTGTAGCCACAATCCAACAGCAGCAACTCTGTCCCGGTAAGATCTTTGTGCCTGTGTGACAAGTGCCTGAGTAGGGCATTATTCCCTGAGTAGCATTATTCCCCTGGTATTCTCTCCCCACTTTCTGTAGTTTATAGTTCAAGAACTTTCTGATCTCAATCATCATTCACCATGGCTGCCAATTAACCTATTTTCCATTAGTCTGATTATTTTTTTAATCCATTTAGTCTTGGCTTCGAAAACAGAGTACTTATATAACATAAATAAACTCTATAATTTAGTAAACAGCAATTGAATAAGATACATTTACTATAATCTGCATTTAAAACTACCATATCAATATGTAAAATCCATTATAGATGAAAACAAAATATATACTGTAATAGTGTTGTCCACAGAACAATATGAAAAATGGTCCACTGAATTTTCAATTCCTCACCAGACCTCTAACCTCTGTTTTAAAAATGTGTAAAGCATATAGTTGAACATATACCTAAGGCAGAAAATCAGCCTTTAGAATTATAGGATAACAATGGAAGACAGGAGTACATAATGCTTTTTGCAATGCTGTGTAGTTACACAGTAAATTTCATAGAAGGCGGCAAAATGAGGATTTTCTTGGAATACCAGAGGCAAACTAGATTCATGTGGCTGACACAGGCCTGCATGTATGAGTTCTTGCACTTTCAAAATACCTAATAAACCAAGAAAAAAATCTTTGAGAAATTATTTTGTGGGCTTTTCTTGTTCCTGTTTAGTATCTAATATATAAATCTCTTGCATACTGACAACTAGTAACACACTTATGTTTGCATTAGGTTGAATTGCAACAGTTTCCTTTAACAGTGAAAAGTTTGTTTTCTCTTTCAATGTATCCCATTTGCCCCCTCCATTAACAGAAATTTTAGTGAATTGTTGTATGTAATTAGATAAGTCTGGAAATCCTATTATTTATGTAGTTTTGGGAGATTTCAAGTAATCAATCATATTTCTTTAAGCTCAATAACCAGGATCTTTTTGTTGTTGTTGTATGGAATTGATTTATTTGGTCAGTACAGGCAGGCAATTACTGTCAAGTGATTAACCTCACAGTAAACATCCATGTACTCTGTTTGATTGACTCTGATATAAAGAAAGCAAAGACAGATTCTTCGAGCATGTGATTTATACCAGAAGGAAGTTGTCAATTATCTTTTGCAATATATGATATATGATGTATGGATTTGAAGATTACATGTTCCCTCCGTCATCAAGTGATCCCTTCTGTCCCCGTAATTGGTGCTCCACTGTGCAGCAATATTTCAACAGGCTCAGACTTACAGAAAAGAGAATGGGGGGGGG